TGTGACTGACGATAAACATTGTAGAGACATCGCCGTGAAGAAGTTCAACAGCGAGAAGATCAGCTGAACGTCTTTCAGTTCTCTCGCCTTTATTGAGGTTTTTAGCAATTCAGCTGGACTTTAACAATGACATCTTTGCTAAAACAACGCACAAAGAAGGGAAAACCTCAAGGTACTTTCATAACATCTGTTTAATAAGCAAAGTTTGCATGCCCTCRTGATTAGATTTAAGCTTATGTGAACTTCAATTTGTCTTGTCCGTACTACTTCTTTGCATTCAGATGGCAAGCAATGGCTCCATCCAGCTGATTTACTAACAGACGCTGCGGTGGTGTATCCAGTAAAAGTAAGTAAACTTTCAGACATACTTAAAATTTTATTTTACYTGTCGATATTTGTTCAAGGAAACAAGCATGAAGACAAGCAGAATGAACTCCAAAACTTGAACTCGGTCCAAAATGCTTCCACGTGTGAGAATTGGAAGTTCTCTATTTCAACAGGAAGACGTTTTGTTTCCTGCAAACGTTTTCCGAGCATAAATTCCTTGGTTGTATCGCGAAAAACAAACTTTAACTCTTTTGTGCAGAAATAATCCAGGGAATTCTTAAATATTTGCATTTCAGAGAAATATTATCCTGCTTCTACGCCGTAATGTTTACCGAAACTGGTATAAGTTATCATTACGCGTAGATAATAGTTCCGCGATGTTTCTACGTTTATTTCAACTGTATGAAAGTTGCTTGTTTCCATTCTATTTTGTCTAGTAAATTAGTATGCATGATATTAGGTACAATATGTATGGATTCTGTTAATTCTCTGTGATAATTTATTCCACCGACCTCCCTAATTGATGCTACGCCATAAGTTCGAGGAAACATGTCTGAGTATACAATATATTATGTTAAATTAATTTAGCCACTTTAACAGTTTTGAGAGTTCGGTAAATATAACAACACACTTTTAGTATTAGTGAAGCGAGGTACATTAAGTTTATTGACAGTAATTTCCTCTGCATTGACGTAAATTAGCATTCTTGATGATTTGGTATCTATTTTCAAAAAAACACTAGAATAAATTCATCAAGGGAAAATTGTTTGTTCAGTATTATTAATGGACCCTGCAAATTACAGGTAATACACAATACAACACAGACATGTTGCCTGTACATTTTCTCTTTAATTTCCTCAAGTGAAGGGGAGTAAAAGGGGAGAGACTGTTACAATATGTTATAATTTATTCGAAATTTATAGACAACACACTGTTGAAATGATGTCATTTATCAGTTTTTCAAAAGGTTTTAGCAATTTCAAAAGTGCTAATATTTGGTAATAAATTAATTACTTTTTTATATTTAATGTTTATTTTCATTGGTTTAGCTTCTTGGTACAACAGAAGTAGCACAAGCCAAAGGGACAGAAGTGATTAGAGATGCTATCACAAAAGTGCAGGTAACAAATGTATAGCATGATCTATTTGTTTACAAATTAATCAAAACTTGCAGCTGCACTAAGTATTATATGTTAAAGGTGATGGCGCCTAATGATATAGTAGTTCAGAAAGTACTTGTTTAGAGTTTGTCTGCTAATCGTTTTCATAAGATTTCTTGATATCATTCACAACCTTGATATTTGAAGTGTCCATACAYAGCGATTATGTTGTTTTTGTGTTTACAATTGTAGTTTGCAAAGCATATCAAGCAAAGTGAAGCTGGTAAAAAAGGCAGTAAACTTAGAAAAGTTGACTTGAAGATCTCAATTAATGCCATCAAAGTGGATGACTCCAAGACAAGGGTATAATTATGCTAAAACACTTTTTAAAATCATGTTACATACATAAGTTGCTATTATTTTTATATGAGTGTKGCCGGCAGTCATAACAGTAGACTTGTTACGGTCTACTTATTTCTTTAAAAATATATTTAAAAAATATGTAGATTATTTTGATGTTATGTTAGTATGGTAGAGAAGGTCTTGACAAGTAATGAAAAAGGGGGAATGGTTGAATGCAAAATTACCAGTTTGTGATAAGTTGTACAAGATCAAAAATAGAAACAATAAGATTATAAGCACAATTTAGCAGTACTTATAGTGCACACTTTTATTGTCTGTACTCAAGTAATATTAATCCTGCACGATATTTTTATTTATTGAGGAATTTTTTTATTAAAAACAGGAAGAAATCTATTCTTATCCCTTGCATCATATTTCCTACTGTGCTGACGATAAGCGAAGCAGAAAGGTATTTGCTTTTATAGCAAAAGACAAAAGCTGTCCACAACACACTTGCTATGTCTTTGAATGTGAAAAACAAGTAAGTAATGCATGAAACTGTCATGAAACTTTCAAGATGCATAAAAGTCTCATGATCATTCTATAATGTGATCTTTGTATGATTTCAGGCTGAGGATTTAACATTAACAGTAGGACAAGCATTTGATCTTGCTTATCGGCGCTATCTTGAAAATGTTGGAAGGCAAAAAATCCAAGCAGCAGAGGTTGAGAGAGATGGTATGAAGCAAAAACTGTCGGAATTAGAGAAAAGTCAGGAAAGTACACATAGTGAGCCTATAAGCAATGCAACAATTCCATCTCCATCAACATGGGTGAGATTTGTTTATTATATTTGATTGATCAAACATTTGTTTATTGTACTGTTTATTAACTATTTACTGCAAAATAATATTTGATTGTAAGGATTAATTATCTTTTTTTGTCATGACATCTCTCACAAGTCAGCCTTAAAAAATGAAGAATATTTTGAGGGTGGGCTCATTATTCTGARCACTTATTATTGTTTTTTGCAGCCAAATCAGAGTCCAGCAAACAACAGTAAAGATGTAAATCTCTGGGATGAYTCAACCCCAGTTCCTAATCTACCACCTCCACCCAAACAAACCCACAAAGACACCTTTGATCCTTTTGAAACTTCAGCTCTGACCACCAATGGTGTTAGCTCATCTCAAATGCCTTTTGATCAACAACCTGTTGCGCCCAATAGTATCTCATCTCCATTTGAGGATTCACCATCTGCTTCACCAGCTTTAAATAACATTGCAAATCCTTTTGACCAGATGTTTGAACAGCAACAACAAKCATCAACWTTTTCCTCTAACACTTTTGACAGTTTTGATCCATTAGATMTTGCTCCTCCTGTGCAATCAAATCAGCCATTTGGAAACAACCAAGCACCGTTACAATCAGGCAKTGATCAAGCTACATCTTTATTCAGTACTGATAATTCCCCTGGTGTAGATGCTACACCAAGTGATAATAACATTTATGCCCAACCACATGTTCAAAGACCAAGGCCTACACCCAGGAGCAATATTCCATCATCCCTCCCTCCCCCGCCTTCCAAGCAGAGTGTAAAAGCTGCAAAGGCAGCCGCTGCTGCAGCAGCTGGCAAGAAACAAGAACCCCTTCCAGTGCCAGCATTTAACTCKACTCCTCCTTCTCAAAATCAACCAAGTTCAGGTAGRATTCAGCCCTGATTTTTAAGTCAGTATRTGCATGCAATATGRTAAATATTTCYAAAATGGAGTAGTCTGTCAATTTTTGTTTTCAATTGTTTGTTTCTATCAGATCTTTTYGGTCTGGAACCACGTTCAACTTCCCCTGGAAATCCATTCTCAAGACCTGCAGATTTTGATCCATTTGCAGATAGTTTTGATCCTCTTGACTCCAACAAACCTCCACAAGTAAATAACCAGWTTACAGACCTTCAGGTATGTTCAAAACGTTCAAACGTCAGGTGTCATAGTTGCTATTTCTTCTCAAGACTATTCTAAACAAAGGAAAGATCATGTSTTTTCCAATGGCAGTGTCTTAAGTCATGCTCATGTGATGTATTCTTAATGTAATAAATTTCCATTTCAGAGTAACTTCTCAAGAGGGATGGTCCTGGACAGTAATGATTTGYTTTCCTAATCAATCATTCCTGGATGATGGTAAGCACACTCATGATAAAACATAAGCGACTTTGATATTGTGCTTAGCTGCAGTTACTAGTATGAACTTTCTAGAATTCAATCTCTTTTGCGTGTAGCTGACGTTTCACTACTCAGAGCATCTGTTAGCTTGAAAAAAAAAAAAAAACAGTGTTCAAACTTTTCACAGATTAATTTGACATGTCCTGTCAAACTGAATATACTATATATATATCCTTTATACTTAATGATAAATCATGGTCTAAATGAATAAAAATATTTATCCTTTTACTTGCAGTTTCCATCTTTTTAATGGTGAAGATTGTTGGAAACAGTTCAACCTGAACATTTTATGAGAAAAATGGCCTGTTAATGAGATTTGGCTAAAATTCAGCCACTGATCCTCATGGATCTAAGAGAGAACTTTCTAATGAAATTTATTTAGCACAGAGAAGTGTATTAGTGATCATATAGTAACAGATTTCAAATTATTGTACAAGTTTTAAGTTGGTGTTGGATATATATGACTTTCGTACCAGGAAGACTCCTAAGCTGTAGATGTGAAAAGTTTTGAAAGATAAAGTGGCATTAGAAAAATTGGAACACAGTATAACAATTAGGCTGTCAAAGTCAAGTACTGTGTGCTCCAGTAAAAATATGGATATAATTTAGTTTGAATTCAGATAGAAATGAAGTGCTAAAAGCAGTTTGAACAGATTGTTTTCAAGAGCATTGTCTTACTCAACTTGTTCGATTTGGTAATTTCACAGCCAAAGTATGTTACTAACAGTTGGTACTATAAAACTTTTTCAATAATATTCATTTCCTTATGGATATAAAAGTATTCACATTTTTTTGGAACTTTCAAGGAGGTAATATCTATTGACATTTTTGTTTAATTATTTTACAATTAACCGTTGAATGTTTTTGTCATTTAATTCTGCTTGTCAGTTATCACTGCTCCACATAATACAGCAAATAATTGTCAATTTCATTATTATTTTGTGCAAAGATTATATTTTCCAGCATTTATTAAATCATATTATTCAATTATTTGTTAATTTGCAATAGCTTAATTATTCATTGAATAATCAAATCAATACATGTAGATGGAGTTTATGAAATGTTAGAAAGAGACTTAAATATTGTGATGCCAAACATAATTTTGTATTAGATATGGTACATGTTGTATTTAGAKTGAATAGACCTGCACAGAAATGGAAGCTTAAAAACTACATATATTAATTACATTTAGTTATTATTCATTGGAATTTGTTATGTTTGACTTGTAAATGGAGTTCACTTATTTGTTTCATAAAAAATAAGATTGCTAATAAACAAGAAATCAATATACTGAAAAGGTAAAATACTTTATTTACATACAGTGTTGATATTAATTTTGACAGTATTCACAATTTATTTTATTGGAAACTATGTACCAAGTACAAAAGAATTAATATTACATACTACATAATTATTAATTTGTMCATGTTATAGTGTATTATCAAGAAACACTTGGCTGACGAAATCAAAGATTATAATACAAGGATCAGAGTCAGGAGATTCTCTCTCYAGAGGACTTTGTCTAGATATCCATATGTACAGTTATTAAATTGTTGTGTATTTACTATCATTTCCTCGTAGGTTRTAAGGTTGACGTTTCTTAAGTTAGCCTTCAAGTCTGTTAATTGGTTCTTTCTTTAAAAAAATATTTTATGTCTTTGCTTCACACCAATGYAAGACAGCTGCCTGTTGACTATGTGTACATGAGTCTGGCATGTAGAGGAGTATACTGTTGTGGTACCAAGTCGGTGCTAGTGATTTGCAGATCACTATCAAAATCAGCTGAGGTCATGTTTCACTAGYATTGGTTGGCTTGTCCTGCAAGAAAAAAAAACAAGGTAAAAAAATCACTAGCAAACAGCACTGTTTACTCGCAATCCACTGGTATAGGTGTAAATCATGCAGGCTGTCAGACAGCTCATTCATCTACACCATGATACWTGTATTTACCTCAGTTATTATAATACTTCTATCCTCTTTTCCTTCTTCAAATGAATCTGTCTTRGTATCCTTGCCTTCAGAAACATTGTCCATTTCCCTAAATCGCTTTAGATTTGAGATAACATTCTTTAAAGTACCA